AAGAAAGAAAAGAAGGAAGGAAAGAAGAAAGAAAGAAAGAAAGAAAGAAAGAAAGAAGAGAAGGAAGGAAAGAAGAAAGAAAGAAAGAAAGAAAGAAAGAATGAAAGAAAGAAAGAAAAGAAAGAAAAGAAGGAAGGAGGAAAGAAAGAAAGAAAGAAAAAGAAAGAAAGATATTAGATCTGTCCAAATGGCCCCCCGCAATCAGTATAATACCTTTATTCCCCTCACTGAATGTAACGAGTGTCTTCAAATGGTATGAGGACATAAGCATGTCTAGCAGTCTCTGGACATAGTAGGTACATCTTTTGATTGATGTAAAAAGGGGTAGAAAGGGAGGACGGAATACCCGAAGAAATTTCTAGAAATAATTTGCGAGGTTGTGTCATCCAAGGGGGGTAGAGGTAATGCATGTTTTTCTACGCTTTCCTCTTACAGTCATTGAGTGTTGATTCGACTGCCGCCATTTACAGAGAGCGTGTTAGGTAGGCCGTGCACCCGGTGGGAGGGACGCCACGGGCCGCGCAGCCTGGTCCTGCGCTCCAGGAGCTCCGGAGAATGGAGGTACGGTGAGAGGCTCACACGTGCGCTAAGTGCCTGAAGGCCAGTGTCAGAGGTCACGCCAAGAAGGCCAGCCCTGAGGTGAGGAGCCCAGTTGGGAGTGTCAAATGAAGAAGGATCCAGACAGAATTCCTGTTCTGCCCGGGCTGGGCTAACGGCATGGGATCGGGGCTGAAGCTGGGAGTCCGGGGGCGACGCTGCCGGCTCCCAGAACATTGTGCCACACGACACACACACACAACACGCACGCTCACAAACACACTTAGAAACACACACGTGTTCACAACACAGATACCCACAACACACGGGCTCACAAACACATGACCACACACATTCGCACATGCACACGTACTCACAAACACACCAGACCACAAACACACACGCTCACAAGCACGCGTGTTTCTAAATATCCCACAGCCAGAGCAGCTGACCGCGAGGCCTGCCAGGGCTTCCCCAGTTTTACCACTGAGAGCCCGAGTCCCAGAGAACCCTTCACTGCCCAGCAAACCTGGAGGATGGTCGCCACGGTCCCCTGCTCAGGACTCGGCCCTTCCTCCAGCTCTCATCAGGCATCCCTCCATTCTCCCCTCCCTTTCCAGCACAGAGCTTCTCAAGCTTCGAGGTGCGCAGAACCACCCGAGGGCCTGGAAACGAGGGGGCTCCTTGACCTTCCCGAGTGTCCATTGGGCGGGTCTAGAGGGAGGGTAGGGGACTTCAGGCCTGGCCAGCCCCAGATGGTGCTGAAGCCACTTGTTCTTTGAGCAGCACTCAACAGTGCAATGCCTTCCAGGAGCATATGGTATGGAAGAACCTCTCGGGGGGGCACTCTCCAAGCACCAGCTGCCCAACCCCCCACACCGGCTCCGCAAGCCTTCCAGGAAGCCAAGACCCGGTCCCGGATTTCAGATAGGGCACGGGGAAAGGGAGAGGAGGGCGTCCCGGCCCCTCTCAAGGGGAAGGTTCTCCCACAATGCAATGATTTATGCAACTTGAATGTCCCATGATGCACGAATGAACAAGCAAAGTGTGGTATGGCCCAAGAATGGAATACTATTCAGCCTCAAAAAGGAGGGAAATTGTGTCACATGAGTGAACCTTGCGGACCTTAAGCTAAGCGAAATAGGCTAGACACAAAGGGGCGAATATATGATTCCACTCATTTCAGGTACCTACCATTGTCAGATTCATGGAGACGGAGGGCATGGAGATGGGCAACTGGTAGTTGTCCAGGATTCAGGAGGTGGATGGCGTTAATGTTGCACAACAATGGAAGTGTAGTTAATTCTACCCTTCCCATGGGCACCTGAACTCTACCCTTAACATGGTTAAAGTACTACATTTTATGGTGTGTTTATTTTATCACAATTCAAAATAAACAGTTATTTTTAACGAGATGCTTTGAGGGGAAGCCGCAGCTCTGCCCACGCCCAAAGCTTTGCCGCTGGTGTGGCAAACACACTCAGCAGGGTTCTTTTTTCCCAAGATCCAAAGGACACCACTTTGTCTAATAGTGTTATTTTGCAAGAGAATCCACTCCGATTTGATTCCAATAATGAGGCTGATATAAAGTAAATAGATTCCATCGAGGTCTTTCCCTTGAAGAAAACTCATCAAGAAGATTTACCTGGTACTGGCCTTTTCTTTCTCCAATATTTTGCAGACAAAGTCAAACCATGGGCCACCATTAGACTTTTAGCCCACCTGACAGAAATGGTCTAAGAATATTAACAGCCTTTTTCTTTTTTTTTTTTTCCTTGTTAAAGATTTTATTTTTAAGCGATCTCTACATCCAATGTGGGGCTCAAACTCACAACCCTGAGATCAAGAGTCATATGCTCCACGGACTGAGCCAGCCGGGAGCCCCTTAACAGCCTTTTTTTAAACCAATCCATTGGCTGAGAGAGGAATTGGGAGTGTGATTTCATACTACAGGTGGAAATTCTCAAATGAATGGGATTTTTCCAGGAAGGCTTTACATCTAACCATTAAGAAAGCTAAATTACTGGGGCGCCTGGGTGGCGCAGTCGGTTAAGCGTCCGACTTCAGCCAGGTCACGATCTCGCGGTCCGTGAGTTCGAGCCCCGCGTCGGGCTCTGGGCTGATGGCTCGGAGCCTGGAGCCTGTTTCCGATTCTGTGTCTCCCTCTCTCTCTGCCCCTCCCCTGTTCATGCTCTGTCTCTCTCTGTCCCAAAAATAAATAAACGTTGAAAAAAAAATTAAAAAAAAAAAAAAAAAAAAAAAAAAAAAAGAAAGCTAAATTACTTCCCAGAGAAATACTTACATCTGCCAACATTAGTTGCTGAAACTGTCACTGGGCGTTTGCTCATGTGAGTGAGCACATCGTAGCTGTGCTTTTAAGAAATCTAAAGATAAAATCATACTGAGACAAGGAGTTCCTCCTGGCAGAATCAGTTCTAAATTCAAGCCACCCACACTGGAGGACGCTGTCTTACTTGTTTACATCTCAGGCCATGGGGACTTGGAGCCTAAAAACCTTAAGACTCCTGGTGGCTCGGTCAGTTAAATGTCCAACGCCAGCTGAGATCACGATGTCGCGGTTCACGAGTTCGAGCCCTGCCTTGGACCCTTTGCTGTCAGCATGGAACCCACCTTGGATCCTTGGTCTCCTTCTCTCTCTGTCTCCAAAACATGAGAAACCAATGTTCCTGACCTTATCCTACAGGTCACTTCCAGGCTGCATAATGACTCAGTGATCCATCTAAAATCATTTTATTAGATTCCTTTCAGCTTAAACCAGCCAAAGAGGATGTAGATGTTTGTAACTAAAAACCCTGGCTAATACATACATATACAAAAATGATTCTATCACAAGTGGCCGATACCGAGGTGATGTATTTAGACAATGCAACAGCGGGTAGGAAGTAAACCACATTAGGAACCCATAAATTAATTGATGTTGTGCAAAATGTATTTATTCAACAAATGCTATTACGTGTCTTTATGGACCGGGGATGGGTGGAATTGGTGAGTATTTCTGTCTTACAATTCCTATTCATCTCCTATTACTTTTGTAAAATACTGTATATGATAGTATTTAAGGTCTATAAAATATGTGCATTATTATAGTAAGAGCTACAATATGCTACGAAGTAATTTTAAGGCTTTGGTTATTGAAGTGAAATTCTAAATGTACCTAAATGAGTTTAAGCCAAGTTGGCCGTGATGTTTGATATTTGCCTTTAGAGGAACTTATTGGGTAGCAAATGCCAGTTTTGCACCATTTGACATCACTGATACGAGAAAAGGGCGCTTTCCTTTGGACTTCTGCAGAGGTGCTAGCTCCCATTATGAGCAACGGGATTTAGAGAGACCTTGAAAGTTATGACTTCATTAGGATTCTGATTTACTTTGAGGGCTATTTCTTTTGCTTCCAAAGCTTGTTTATTAACTTATGATTCCAGTAAGGCCCAATCTTAGGGAGGAAAGACGGCCGTCAACCCACCAGCTCTGGCCCCTCCTCAAGCGGCAGGTTTCAGTGAGGAAGAGTATTTTCCGTAACCATATTGAAAACACTTAAAAGCACACAGTTAAACAAAAACCAAAATGGCTGCACTAATGCTTCAGCAAAGCTCGATGTTAAAGCAACCTTTTTTCTCTGATCTATGAAGCTCCTTTCCTCCCCTTCTTAGGCTCAGGAACCCGGTACCACCCTGAAAACAACTAAGGAGTCAGCACTTGCACAGTTCCTGTGGAAACCGGCTAGACCCTGTATTTCTCTATGAACCCCCCTCCCACCCAGCCCATTCCTTCCTGACAGTTTTTTGAAGGCCATCACCTCCCAAAGACCATCCTTTGCCCAGCAGAGCAATAAAGCCATATTGTTCCTCTTTATCCCAAACTCCGTCTTCACGTTATATTCTGGCTCCGAAGCACAGAGGTTGGTTTTCGAGAACAGTCTCCAAGGGACCTCTGTCGAGTAGATGAAACACTGACGCCTACTTTCCCAGCCCCGCTCACAAGCACAGAACATTGATTTTCTTGTCTAATTACAAAACAGCATTCTTATCAAAATAAACGTATGGCGTTGTCGTACCCAACTGATAAGAAGAGCTCAACAGAAATGCTCAACTGGACGGAAACCACGTCTGGAATCCGACGTTCTCTGAGAGCAGATGTCCCGAGTTGGGACACTTCCTCATTGTACTTCTTTATCCCGATCATCTTCAGAGATTACCTGTCAGCTGTGTCTTTATCCCAGGTCTGTTGGACAGAGATGCCTGCGGTTGGGGCTAAGGATCTTTCTGTTTTGTTATAATTTCTTAGAAAATTATTTTGGAGGAATTATTCCTTCAGTAACTGTTTTCAAAACCAAGAGTTAGCAAATTACGGCTAGAAGCCAAGCCCCACCCACTGCCTGTTTCTGTAAATAAACTTTTATTGGGAAACATGTACACCCGATTGTTTCTGTATGTCTCCAGCTGCTGCCGTTATAACGGCAGCGTTTGAGTATTTGGGACAGACTGCACGGCCTGTAGAGCCTAAAATATTTACTATCCGGCTTACGCAGAAAAAAAATCACCAACTCCGGATCTAAATCATGAAAAAAACTGAAAAGATAACTTAGACCAGTGTAAATAAAGCATATTATACTATGTTTGCACTTGAGACAAATAATATAAAATTTAATGAGTTTATATGCTTATTTCCCTTTACTGTTCTTTTTTTAACCTCTATGCTTTTCAAATATTGTAGAATAAAGATGTATACATTCTGTTAACAGGAAAAAAAAAATATAATTTATTTGCTACACACGGAACGGCAGAACGTTATTTGAAGTTAGACCGTAAAGCTGTGTATTGAAAATCTTCAGGGCAACAACTCAAAACATTTCTTCAAAGAGGATCCATAATAATCCCACAGTGGAAATAAAGTGGAATCATGAGTAACTGTGGGTAATTAGTACAGATCTAGAGGCTGAGAGATTTTTTCAGAGAAGCGGGCTAAATCTCAAGAAGAACTATCTTATTTAATCCTTACGTCGTGTTGGCTGAAATTAAAAATATTACATTTCCGGTATGAATCAATCTACACAAGTTCGTACAAAATGCAAGAAGAAATGAGAGCCCAGTGGACTGAAGTGTTTCTGAACACCTGGAAAGTTGAAAGCTGAACCGTCACAGAAGAGAGTAGATGGGGTTATATTAAGGCCACGAGAGCTGAAGAGAAGGACTGGATAACTTACCAGGGAGAAAACCAGCAACAATGATCGCTGGACTCAAAGTGGGGGTTGACTCTGCTGTGTAGGTACACCCAGCATCAGGCAGTTGGGGACAAATGGTTCCACATAATAGGAGTATAGAATGAACCCAGGGAGAATGTAAAAAAGAGGTATTTTCCAAATTCTTTTAAAGGAAAATTGCTCAAGCTGTCGGGAAACCTTTGCCAGTGAATACGGTGCTGATCAGTGACATCTTGGAATACCTACTGAGTTGGGGGTGATCTGCAACTGCCCTGATCAGGAAGAGGTTTGTGTAGGAAATCTACTACCGAGGACAGGATTCTAGCCTCACCGGGTAATCTTCCGCTGGGCAGTGGGCACTCAGAGGCCGCAGGAGGTGCCACCATCTGTGATATGTGGGGCTTGATGGCAACAGTCTACATCCGAGAAGATCAGGATTCAGTGATCAGGCACGGTGGGACATCTGGAGGGGTCTGAACCTCTGCAGGGCCGG